TCCTGTTCCTTTTCTTCTTCTTGGCTTCTTTTCAAAAATTTTCTTTGTCTATAATCTTTTCTTCTTCTTCGCACCACCTGAAGACCTTTCCTTGTATAATTATCTTTCTATATCCTATTTTGACTTGTTTTCCCTCCAGCTTCTCCTTCTTTGCTCTCTCTCTTATCTTCCACTGCACCTGCCTTTCTTCCGGCGTTAAATCATGGTCGATGTAAATCCTTCTATTGCCTAACTTTTTCTTCTCCTTCATTATTTCCTCTTTCAGTTCCCATCCGCTCATCTCTACTATAATTGCTTCTCTTCCTTCTTTCCCAACGATCTGTATCCTCTTCACTCCTTCCTTCACACCGAACTCTTTTGCTAGAAAATCTTTCGCCGTTTCTCTCCAATCCCCCTCTCCTCTTTTCAATCCTCTTATTACCAGGTTGTTTTTCCTCTCCTTTCTCTCTTTTTCCTCGATCACTTTCTTTAGTTGTCTCACCTCTGCTCTTGTCACCTCCATCTCCTTTGTCTGTTGTTTATCTATATTTCTTTCTCCATTCCCTGTCTTTTCTCTATCTCTTTCCTGCTCGATTTCTTTTATTTTCTCCTCCATCTTGTCTATTCTTCCTTCCAACCTTTTTTCCCTTAACTTCCAGCCTTCCTCTGCCTTGTTCATTTTGTCTTCCACTCCATTCATTTTTTCCTTCATCTCCCTTACTTCCCTCTTCATATCTATCATCTCTTCTTTTATCTCCTTCAGCAAGCTGATTAACATTCTATCCCCTCCCTCTTTCTCTTCCTTTTCTTTATCCACTGTGTCCGGTGATCTTATCAATTTGTTGCTCCTCTTAAATATATCTGTCAAATTCTCTTCCTCTTCTTGTCTCGGTCTTTTCTTCATCTCCTCGCTCCCCTCCTCCGTCCTCATCCACCGATCTAAATCCGTTAGCGATTGCGTTCTTTCCCTCTCTCCCCCCCTCAGTTTACTTACTGGTCCCCTTTCCATCTTCCGATTATCCATCTCTATATTCTTTCTCTATGCCTCTAGCCTCGCCGCG